CCAAGCCATTATCAAGCCATATGCCACTAATAATAACATGGTAACCAGAGTTACACTCAGAAATACTATTGAATAAGAGACCAGAGATATGGAAAATTCAGTAATCTATAACATATTCTAAAAGCACTAAATTATAATTTAAGATTGATGGGTCTTCAGACCAAAAGTTCTATATTGTAATAGAGCAAAGGAAACTTAAAAATACAGTTGTGTTTCTATATGTAGGGAAGGAGTTAGAAAATCTTTCAATAAATGGTTGGAGTAAGGACTTCAGGCTTTGTGAGACACATGGTCTCTGCTGCAACTCTTCAATTCTGCTGTAGCAGGAAAGCAGCAGTAGTCAATACATAAACAAATTGGTATGGTAGTGTTCTAATAAAACTACAGTTGGCTACTCACTTTTAATGTACATTGGGCATGTATGTTGAATATGCTTACATGTCTGTATATGTGAGTAGGAGTTTATATATGTATGTGTATTAGTGCACCACATCTGTTTGCCTATTCCCAGAGTCAAGGCAGCTTCTCGGGCCTGTAATCAGTATAGTCACACATGCGCTGTTTACAAGGGCCCTGAACTTGTAGTTTTCACTCTCTAGAGTCACTGTCTTGAAATTCTTAATGATTCTATCTTGTAATTCTGTTTTGTAAGTATGGTCAGGGCAAAGGAACCTCCTTGGCTCACTGCAGCCCTGAGATAGGTCTCAGAAACAAGTCTCCTTCAGCTTCTTCTTTCCTGCCCTTGTCTTGCTGCTGCTGCCGCCATCCACCCAGGATGAGACCAGGTCATGTCTGGGTGGAGGCATGTGTTCTGCGACTGTCTTTTGCTCATGGCAAGAGCTGAATGTGACTTTAGGAAGGGATGGTGTCAGTGTGCACATCTGTGGTATTTTAGGGAAGACATGGAGGTGACTGTTCCTGCCCCAGGCTGGTAGCACCACAGCACACTCAATGGACTCCAGGCAGAGCTCCTTGCCCACCCCTGATCTAGGAAGCAGGTATGCACCAGCGTGCAGGATGCAATCTCCTGGAGAATGCCTATATGACCTCCTTGAGATGAAGGAGAGTGACTTCTTTCCCTTCCTGTGGGGCACAGTGTGTAGGCTCAGTGATTGGAGTAAGAGACAACCCAGCAGGATGGGCTACAAATGCACACCCAGTCATGACTGTAATCCCCCATGAGCAGTCCTGTATAAGAAGCAGCTTGGCATTAACGAGCCAATTAAAAAGCACATGACCAGTAAAAGGAGAGAGAGAGAGAGAGAAAAGAAAGAAAGGCTGAGGGAAAAAAGAAAAATTTGCTAACTTTAACACACACCCTGTATTTACTTTGCTCTGGGCCCTTATGAAAGCTTATGAGATATAAAAAATCATCTGATGAGATTCATCTGCCCAAATGGAAGCTGGCAAAGAAAGTTCCACTATGCACCACTCATTTAAGAACAGCCAACCCTTGTAATGCAAGGGGTTCCTGCAGTACCCCAAAATTTTAAATAGAAAGCTCTGGAGTTAATTACGTACTTTGGTTTCAGATTCATATGATGATCAGGAATGTTGCATGGTAGTTATTTCCCTCAAAGAGTGTACTTGTTTAGAATGATCATAGGGTATTTTATGAATATAAAACACAATAAAAACGATTATATGTGAAATTTAATAAATACCAAAGTTGAAACTTTACTAATATTTACTTTATTTCCTATTAAAGAGGGTAATATTGCAGCACTTTAACATAAAAATGTAATTGTCTTCCTGAATTGAATAAACCAACTGCAAATCAAGCACATATTTGAATACAGCCTGGCATTATTTGATATTAAATAATTATTGCTAATATTATTTGGGGTAACAATGACATGGTAGTTATGTAAAAATATTCTTCAGAGATGCATATGGGTATTTATGAGTAAACATAAAAAAAGTAAAGAAAAAGATAACAAAGAAAATGAAGCAGGAAACAAGGAAGACAAAGAAAGAACTGAGAAAAAAATGTGAGATGGGCTAGGCAAAATGAAGACTGCAGGCACTGGAAATGTGGGGGTGCATTATCATATTCCCTTTGGCCTCATGTATGTTTTTAAATTCCCATGATGGAGTGAGTTATGTGTGTACCTGTTGGCCACAAAAATTCTCTCAAAAAAATCTAGGCACCTATTTCTCTTTCTTTCCCATACTAACTGTCTTTTTTTTTTTTTTTTTTCAAGCAATAAGCATCCTCTGAGGCTGACAGGCATCCTCTAAACTGAAGAGATACAAAGGAGTTCATGGGAAGGATAATCTGCCTATCGGGTCCTGACACAATACAAAAAAGAAAAGAAGAAAGTGGGTGGAAGAGTCTGCCATTGTTATTCTCCTAACCTTTCCTTCTAATTATGCCAGAGTCAAGGCTCAGGTCACAAGGAAAATTATTTTGGTGGTCAACCATTTGCCCTATTTTGTATACATCAAAAAAGCTCTTGTTATCACCACATTCCAATCCCACAGTTTCCCACCTACTTAAAAAGTATATTGAGTGGTTAGATGAAAATATGAATAAAATGACTAGATTATGAAGAATACCTTGTTTGCAAACCTAGAGATAGTCTTTCTGTTATGCTGAATTGTATGATATATATCACCTTAAAATTAAATATGCTTTATGTTATGGTAATATTTCAGATAAATGCTCAACATAGCAAGCTTTTAAAAGTTAAATGTAAATTTTTCTCATGAGTGCAGATGGTGGCCAAGCAATGTAGCTCTTTGGTCTTACAGACAGAAGGTCAGGTCATGGCTGAAAGACCAAAGAACAATTGCTGCTTTGCTACTTCAAATCATCCATGGAATGAGACACCACTTCTTTCTTTTCTGAAACTGCCTGTTCAATACAAAATAGTTATAAAGAGTACCTATAAGATTTCCTCACATTCTGCCCAAGGGGGGGGGGGAATGGTAACAAGCACATAACAGCACAAACATCTCATAACTGTTCAGAGGTTTTATTCCTAACGCAAAGACCTGCTAAAAAGGCACATCTCTATCAAATGACTTATCACTAAAAGTCACTCTGAAGATTGCTAATATTTCACTGGTATCAGGATTTGTTTATAAACAAAAACTCCTCCTTTTGAAATCCTGCAACTTGAGCTTCCACACCATCACTAGTTAACTAAAATGAGATACACTGCAAAAAGAAAAATATTATAAATACTTCTAAACAGTTTATTCATTTATAAGCTATATATAAACTCTTCTTATTACTATAGTGTCTTTATCTTCTAGAACATTCTAAGGTAATTTTAATAATTCAGAAACTCTTCCCTGCTATATTTTCTCATTCTAAAATATGCTGGCAGAATGTTATAATACAATATTATATAATAATCCTAGTGAGCATGCCAATATGGTACCTTTAAAAAATTATAATATGCCAGGAAAAAAAGTTCTCTATGTGTTTGACTTAGTCCGAGGCCTTCAGCTCCTGATAGAAAGGATTTTCCATTCCACTATCAGGTACGCCCCCAACTGGATGAAATAAAATAGTTTCATAATTTGTACATGCTAATAATGAAAAATCCATTGAAAATTTAAAACTCATGACACTTTGAATATACTGATATAAAAGCAGAATTTTATTCTGCTTGTCTAGTTTTTAAAATAGTATTAACAATTTTAATTGTGACTTAAAAACTTTGTAGTGAACTTCATTATCACTTTCAATTCTAAGTACTTTTTCCCAGTTGTCCTTGCATCAGTTGTCATGAGGAGTTGATTAGATTGAAAGGGAAAATTTGTTGGAAGATGCAATAAAAAATCTTGAAATATCAGGAAAAAATGTACTTGGAGCTACCCATTTCCACACTGTATTTGTTTCTTTAAAATATTGACACTGGGGCCGGTGCTGGGGCGTTGCAGGTTAATGCCCTGGCCTGAAGCACTGGCATCCTATATAGGCACTGGTTTGAGACCTGGCTGCTCCACTTCTGATCCAGCTCTCTGCTGTGGCCTGGGAAAGCAGTAGAGGATGGCCCAAGTCCTTGGGCCCCTGCAGCCATGTGGGAGACCCAGAAGAAGTTTATGGCTCCTGGCTTCAGATCAGCAGGACTCTGGCTGTTGCAGCCAACTGGGGAGTGAACCATCGGATGGAAGACCTCTCTCTCTCTCTCTCTCTCTCTGCCTCTCCTCTCTCTCTCTGTGTAACTCTGACTTTCAAATAAATAAATAAATCTTTTAAATATTGACACCAAGAATTCAGCTTTATTATTTTAATTGAATAAATTAAACAACTATTCATTAAATATAAAGAATATAAGTTTTCATGTCCTGTACTACTATGTCTGTATTACAGTATAAAAACAGAAAATCAAAGTCAGTCTACTAGAATTGTCTCTTTAAAAACTTTATCCAAATTGTCAATTAAAATTAGAGTCAATTAAAATTATATCTCAATAAAGATATAACATAAAACATCTGTTCAAACTAACATTGAAGTAAGCAGCATTTTCTTCTCTAACATTTCTAGTTTCACTGTATTTAGGCTTCGTGAGCAAAAGTATTCATGGTTATCTTAGTTAAAACTGGTTTCACTCTGCCAACAATCAATTTGATTGACATATTTACATATCAACTCATCTCATCTTACAAATTTTTAACTTTTTCATTTAAAATTGGATTCAAGTTGGCATCTTTCAAGAACTTCATGTACGTATATTTTAGGTTCAAACTGTGCATTAGAACATTTTTTTTAACTTTTGTAAGTAATAGATACACATATCCAAATGTATATTTATGACCTGTCAGATTGGAATTTCATATGCACACAGTTGTACTCTCACCATTTCATATTGAAAGGTGATAATTTTAGGCAACTATAAATGAAATTCTTTTAATAGGATAACTGGGTCATTGCATTATTTATAAATAATATAATAGAAATGCATAATTTAGGAATTAAAGTACATCAACATTAGAAAGAACATGAGATTTTCAACTGCTGCAGATATACTTGTGCCATCTCTTACCTGATCTTTAATTTCAAGATCCATTTTAACTTTTGCTTTGTACTTTATGTGTTCCTTTTCTGCCTCATCCCTCTCCATTTTGGTTTTATTCATCTGAAAGCGCATTTCTCCACACACCTGTTGGATTGTAAAAACTAGATCAATCGCTGCTGGAATTTATCAGGCAATGCCTGCAAGTAAATCCTATGGTGCCCTCTAGAGGTCATATACATAAATGCAAAATAACTTTCCTAAGAATGGCATTTTTTAAATGTCAATATAGTTTATTAGAGTTGGAGGCACTATCAAGGATTACTGAATCTAACAATTCTAAATTACAGATACAGAGATGTATAACCAAGAAATTTAGGTAATATGCCCAGGATTACTTTATGTTATTGAATTGAACCTTATCTAAAATGGAATATCATCAACTAAAATGTACTATCATCCAAATCTTAATTAGGTAAAATTAGCAATTAAAAATATTAATCTATGTTATTAACTCAAATTTTATGGTTAACTATTTAGTCTACATTATAAAATCTTCCTTTAAAGACTTGATCAGATAGGCTTTACTTAAGAAAATTTAGAAAGTAATTTTTCTTATTTAAGTTCATAGCACTTAATACATACTGTAAGCTTTGCAGATAACTTAAAACTGATCATGTATAATGCTATAAATTCGAGTTAAAGAATATTTTCTGACAAAATTCATAGATTGGAAATAAGCATACTCTGTACTTTGTAACACCGAATATAACATGGAAGGAAAATATACATTTAAGTGAAATAATTTTAAAATATCATTAAGTAATAAGCATATATAACATCTTCAAAGTGTTTTGTGTCATTCTTTATACAATTTATTATTATTTCTTCCCCAGTTCAAGGCTGTTGTAGATGCAGAAATATATTTGGAAAATGCAATTACCAGGTAAGTCTAAATAAATGAATTACAGGCTTTGCGAGATAATTGAGAACCTGTAGAGATCAATTAACATACAAATCTGCTAAGTTTGCTTCTAATTTACAAATAAAGTTTTTTTTAAAAATAGTATTATCTAATGGTTACATTTGCCTGAAATTTTTTAGATTTGGTATTTCTCCAATTAGTATGATTGCTGAAAATTTTAGAAATTCGTTTCATCATTAGAGAAGTATTAGAATACACTAAACTATAAAAAGCCAGAATACCCTAAACTATAAAACCTATGTGCATTTCCTATATTCAACTAAAAGCTATCTTAAAAAACAAACTAATTTAGGTTCAAAAGTGTAGTGGAGGTGGGTGTTTAGTCTAGCAGTTGAGATGCCCACGTTCCATGTCAGAGTGCCTGGGTTTAGCAGCGAGCTCCAGCTCCCGACTCTACCCTCCTATTGATGAAGATCCTGGGAGGCAGCAGGGGATGGCTCAAGTACTCGAGTTCTTGTTGCCTACGTGACAGACCTGGACTGAGCTCCGATCTCCTGCATCAGTTCAGCCTGGTTCAGTCTTGGTCTTTGAGGGCATGTCAGAGAGAACCAGCAGATCAGAGTGCTCTTTCTCTTCATCTGTTCCCCAACCCCTCAGGCCTCATCCTGTCTTTCTGCCTCTCAAATAAATAGATAAAAATAAGTCATAGTGACAAAAAATTCAATAAGCTTCTTCCCAATGGCCCTCAAAAAACTAAAACAAGAATGAAATTACTAGAACTTCTATTTGAAAATCAAATGCCTTCAACATGTGAAAATTGATTCTTCCCACTTAAAAAAAAATAAATTTACAAAAAACTATTCATTTTCAAAGCAAGTCAAATTTTAAAATTGTCAGAAATTATGAGAAGGGCCTTAATTTGTTTTCTTTCTCAATTCTTAATTATTCCAACCTACTTTATTTATGTTTATAAATAAAATGGAAAAACCCAACTTGATAACATCAGAAAATAATCACATACCCATGATATTTAAAACCTAACACCAATACACACTCATTATGTAACAAATGTAATAAAGGTCCTATTTAAAGTTGATTTAGCCCTTAATTTTACTTTTAATGTTCCCTTGCCTTACTGCTTTCAGTTCAGCATTTGCTAAGTTTATCCATAGCACTTAAATTCCATCTGAAATAAGTCAACAAATTAAGTTGAACTAGAATTATATTATCTCAGGATTGGAAACAATCTCAAGGCCATTTACTGTAATTACCCTTCTGATGAGTAAGTCTTTTTGAGTAGTTCTAAAGAAACAGAACTCATTCTTTGCTGCACCACACTTTAACAGAAAGTTGTTTGCTTATAACGAGTTGAAAACTTTTTAACAACAGCTTCCATCCATAAATACATCCATCCATAAAAACAGATTAAGCATCTCCATCACTCTGTAATAATTCCTTTACCTCCATACAGACTTACAGGAAGACTGACAAATATGAACTTCCTAAACGTCTACATCAGTTTGTTTGAAATCTAGAAAGCAAACAGACAATTACAGAAACTGATAAAAGAAAAATGGAAAAATGGCCTCCTTACTTAACAGATGCTAAAATTATTTTTATTTACTGAATAATACAGCAAAAGAATACCATCAATGGGCTGGCACTGTGATATATGGGTAAAGCTGCTGCCTGCAGTGCCGGCATCCCATATGGGTGCCGGTTTTAGTCCCAGCTGCTCCTGGCTTCAGATTGGTGCAACTCCAACCATTGTGACCAACTGGGGAGTGAACGAGCAGATGGAAGACCTCTCTCTCTCTCCCTCTCCTCTCTCTATGTAACTCTTTGAAATAAATAAATAAATAAATCTTTCAATTTTTTTTTTTTTTTAAAAAGGATAGCATCAAAAGTGTTAAAACTTAGGAAAACATACTGAGGAGTAAAAGGCAAAATGGAAAGGGCTTATATTTTATTGTAAATTATTTATATTAAATTTATTTATTTAAAGTTTATGTATTTGAAAGGCAGAGAGAGAGATATCTTCCATCCACTGGTTAATTCATTTTTTTTTAAGATTTATTTATTTATTCAAAAAGCAGAGTTACAGAGAGGCAGAGGCAGAGAAAAAGAGAGAGAGAGGGAGAGAGGGAGAGAATGGCCGGGGCTGTGCCAACCAATCTAAAGCCAGGAGTCAGAGCTTCCTCCAGGTCTGCCACATGGGTGCAGGGGCCCAAGGACTTGGACCATCTTCTACTGTCTTCCCAGGCCATACCAGAGAGCGGGATTGGAAGTGGGCAGCCGGGACCCGAACCAGCGCCCATATGGGATGCAGGTACTGCAGACCCGGGGCTTGAACCCACTGTGTCACAGCACTGGCCTTGATAGTTCATTTTTTTGTTTGTTTGTTTTATGACAGGAAGAGTGGACAGTGAGAGAGAGAGAGAGAAAGGTCTTCCTTTGCCGTTGGTTCACCCTCCAATGGCCGCCACGGCCGGTGTGCTGCAGCCGGCACACCGCGCTGATCGATGGCAGGAGCCAGGTACTTATACTGGTCTCCCATGGGTGCAGGGCCCAAGGACTTGGGCCATCCTCCACTGCACTCCCTGGCCACAGCAGAGAGCAGGCCTGGAAGAGGGGCAACCAGGACAGAATCCGGCGCCCCGACCGGGACTAGAACCCGGAGTGCCAGCGCTGCAAGGCGGAGGATTAGCCTAGTGAGCCGCGGCGCCGGCCGATAGTTCACTCTTAAATGTCCTCTGCAGCCATTTGGGCCAGGCCAAATACAGAAGCCCTAAATTCAATCCATCGCTCCCACCTGGGTGGCAAGGACCCTGCTACCTGAACTGTCAGCTGTGCCTCCCAGTGTGCACATGAGCTAGAAGCTAAAATGAGAAGTGGAGCTGGGACTCCCAGGTACGTCTATATGGGCTGTGGGTGTCCCAAACAATATCTTAATTATAGTGACAAATGCCTACCCCTAATTTTTTATTTATTTTATTTACTTGAGAGGCAGAGATACAGAAGGAGAGAAAGAGGCAGTTGAAAGAGAAAGAGGAATCTTTTATCTGTTAACGATTCATTCCACCAACACCTCCAACAACGAGGGCAGGGCTAAGCTAAAGCCAGGAACCAGGAATTCAATCCAGGTCTCTTGTGCAGTTAGCAGGGACAACTACTTAAGTCATCACTGGCTTCCTCAGCATTTGTATCTTAAACAGATTATCTGTGTATTTCAGTGGTGAAAAATAAATGGATTTCATTATTATAGTATACATGCTCATATTTACTTTCTTAACTTTAAAGAAATTGACTATGGAAATTTAAGTGAATTTCTAGTATTTCTCAAAATATGTACCTTATAAACTAACCTTAGCCAGTTAAGACCATTAAACATTTTAGTTCTTGGTTGACAAATTAGTGATGCACATAGCACAGATATTGTGGTATTTAAAGAATAAATTTAAGCATCAATAAAATAAGCACTTGCAGTATTTTGTTGTTGTTGTTGTTGTTGACAGGCAGAGTGGACAGTGAGAGAGAGAGACAGAGAGAAAGGTCTTCCTTTTTCATTGGTTCACCCCACAGTGGCCGCTGCAGCCGGCGCACCAGGCCTATCCGAAGGCAGGAGCCAGGTGCTTCTCCTGGTCTCCCATGGGGTGCAGGGCCCAAGCACTTGGGCCATCCTCCACTGCACTCCCTGGACACAGCAGAGAGCTGGCCTGGAAGAGGGGCAACCGGGACAGAATCCGGCACCCCAACCAGGACTAGAACCCGGTGTGCCGGCACCGCAGGCAGATGATTAGCCTAGTGAGCCTGGCGCTGGCCACTATTAGAATCTTGATTTTAAAGTATGTGGTCAATCCTAGAGTAGGTTCCATGTACTGCTGAGAAGAATGTAAAATCTTTAGCTGTAGGATTGAAAGTTCTGTATATATCTGTTAGATCCATTTGGGCTATAGTGTCGTTTAAATCTACTGTATCCTTGTTGATCTTCTGTCCTATTGATCTGTCTATTTCTGAGAGTGGAGTATTGAAGTCCCCCAGTACTATTGTATTGGGGTCTAAGTCTCCCTTTAAGTCCGTTAACAAATCTTTTAGATAAACTGGTGCCCTGTAGTTAGGTGCATATACATTGATAATTGTTATATCTTCTTGTTGAATTGATCCCTTAATCATTATATAGTGCCCCTCTTTGTCTCTCTTAACAGTTTTTGTGGTAAAGTTTATGTTGTCCGATATTAAGATGGCTACACCTGCTCTTTTTTCATTTCTGTTGGCATGGTATATCTTTTTCCAGCCTTTCACTTTCAGTCTGTATGGATCTTTGTTGGAAAGATGTGTTTCTTGTAAGCAGCAAATAGATGGGTTTTGTTCCTTAACCCAATCAGCCAATCGGTGTCTTTTAACTGGACAGTTCAGGCCATTAATGTTCAATGTGACTAATGAAAAGTGGTAACTTTGCCCTGCCATTTGCCAAAGATAAGTTCTAATATATGCTTTGAATTCCCTGTGATCTTTTGCTGTGAGGTTTCCTTCCTTTATCTTCTTTCATATTGATGACCGTGTTTCTGTGTTTGTGTGTGTAACACATCTTTAAGCATCTGTTGCAGGGCTGGACGAGTGGCAACAAATTCTTTCAATTTCTGTTTGCTATGAAAAGTCTTTATTTCACCTTCATTCACAAATGATAGCTTTGCAGGATATAATATTCTGGGCTGGCAGTTTTTCTTTCTTAGTACCTGGGCTATATCTCGCCATTCCCTCCTAGCTTGTAGAGTTTCTGATGAGAAGTCAGCTGTGAGTCTGATTGGAGATCCTCTGAGAGTTATCTGACGCTTCTCTCTTGCACATTTTAGGATCTTTTCTTTATGTTTCACTGTGGAGAGTTTAATTACAACGTGTTGTGGTGAGGATCTCTTTTGGTTGTGTTTATTAGGGGTTCTGTGAGCTTCCTGTACTAGGATTTCTCTGTCCTTCTCCAAACCTGGGAAATTTTCTGCTAATATCTCACTAAAAAGGCCTTCTAATCCTTTCTCCCTCTCCATGCCTTCAGGAACTCCTAGAACCCGAATGTTGGGTTTTTTAATAGTATCCTGAAGATTCCTGACAATATGTTTTAGATTCCTAATTTCCTCTTCTTTTCTTTGGTCTGACTGTATCCTTTCCTGTTCTCTGTCTTCTAAGTCCGATATTCTCTCTTCTGCTTCACCCATTCTGTTTGTAAGGCTCTCTATTGTGTTTTTCATTTGATCTATTGAATTCTTCACTTCAGTCACTATCACAGTTTCCTGTTGTACTAGTTGTTTCATTTCATTTTGATTCCTCCTTAATATTTCATTTTCACGAGAGAGATTTTCTATCTTGTCCATTAAGGATTTCTGTAGTTCAAGAATTTGTTTTTGAGAACTTCTTAATGTTCTTATCAATTTTTTGAGATCTGCTTCTTGCATTTCTTCTGTGTCATCATCTTCATAATCTTGAATTGGGGTGTCTTTTTCATTTGAAGGCGTCATGGTGACTTCCTTGTTTTTATTACCTCGGTTTTTGTGTTTGTTATTTGGCATATTGGAGATATTTGGTTTCTTCACTGTGGTGCTTTTTCTTGTTATACTATGACTCTAGATTAAGTGGACTATCTGTTTTTGATGGAGCTTGAGATGGGTGTGGCCTGAGAGCTCTGTTTGGTGTGCCAAAGGTGACACTCCCAGGTTAGGCGTGATAGATCTCTCTCTCTCTCTCTTTCTTTCTTTTTTTGATTCAAAAGGGAAGTAATTCCGCACAGCTGAACGAAGTTGGAGGTAGTTAGCAGGCAAATGATATACCCACAGGAGCCAGAGATCGGAAGCTCTTTCCCAAGGACCACACAGGGAATCTGTTCTGCCCTCAGAGTGGGCTCAAATTCTCCTTCAGTCTCCCACTGGGTTGCCAAAGTTACGGAATTGTAGCGTCTCTGGAGAGTACTCACGTGAATTCCGTGAGTTCTCTCCCCCACCGTCTCTTTTTTCACAGTCTCAGTTCAGTAGCACCACAAATTTAACAACTTAATACATTATCCCTCTTAGTAGTTCTTTTGTCTGTTCTACTTAATATGACTGGTTTAATTCTGTAATTAATACACAGTTATTCTTAAGTGTTGAAATTTAACTGAAATGTGATCCCTGTTAAACATAAGAGTAGGAATAAGAGAGGGAAGAGATGTACAATTTGGGACATGCTCAAGCTGACTTACCCCAAATGGTAGAGTTAGAAACATACCAGGGGACTCCAATTTAATCCCATCAAGGTGGCATGTACCAATGGCATCTCACCAGTCCAAGTGATCAATTTCAGTTCACAATTGATCATAATGAAAGGACTAAGAGTCAAAGGGAGCACATAAACAAGTCTAGTACCTGCTAATACTAACTGATAGAATAAATTAAGGGGAGAGTGATCCAACATGGGAAGCGAGATACTCAGCAGACTCATAGAATGGTGGATGTCCTAAACAGCACTCTGGCCTCAGAATCAGCCCTAAAGGCATTCCGATCTGGCTGAAAAGCCCATGAGAGTATTTCAGCCATGGAAAGCCAAGACACTCTGGCAAAAACAAACAAACAAACAAAAAAAACAAAAAACCAAACACCAAAACCTTAAATGAAAGATCTCTGTGAGTGAGATCCCAGTGGAAAGAACAGGTCTTCAAAGAAGGAGGTACCTTTCTCTGAAGGGAGGAGAGAACCTCCACTTTGAATATGACCTTGTCTAAACAAGATAAGAGTCAGTGAACTCAAAAGGCTTCCATAGCCTTGGAAACTCATGACTGGTGCATAGGGAGATTACTGATGCCATAAACAGGAGTGTCAATTTGTAAAGTCAACAACAGGAGTCACTGTGCACTTACTCCTCATGTAGGATCTCTGTCCTTAATGTGCTGTACATTTGACTTAATGCTATAATGAGTACTCAAACAGTATATTTCGCTTTGTGTTTCTATGGGGGTGCAAACTGTTGAAATCTTTACTTAATGTATACTAAACTGATCTTCTGTAAAAAAAAAAAAAAAAAAGAAGAAATTATCAATTCCCAACTTGACTCTCACTGGGATTAAACATGACAATAGGTCTGCTCCGATTTCATCATCATTTAAAAAATCACCTATTTTTTTTCACTTTATGTTTGTGTGGGAGCAAACTGTTGAAATCTTTACTTAATGTATGCTAAACTGATCCGTATATAAAGAGAATCGAAAATGAATCCTCGTGTGAATGGAAGGGGAGAGGGAGTGGGAAAGGGGAGGGATGCGGGTGGGAGAGACGATATGGGGGGGAAGCCATTGTAATCCATAAGCCGTACTTTGGAAATTTATATTCATTAAATAAAAGTTAAAAAAAAAGAAAATATAAGACTTGGACAAGTATCATGAAAATCAGTGCTATTCTATGCTATCTCTGGCAAAAAGAGATATCACTACTACTACAAATTTTATCAAGTATTTAATAATTATAGCAATATAACTCCTGATTACAAGTCTGACTCTGCTACTTAACCCTTAAGCTCCTTGAGGACACTATTTGTGTCCAGTTCATCTTTGTAGTTATAGTAACTGGTTCCCTCCTCAAGTGGCCACAATGGCTGGAGCTGGGCCGATCTGAAGCCAGGAGCTTCCTCTGTGTTTCTCAGGCAGGGACAGGGGCCCAAGGATATGGGCCATCTTCTACTGCTTCCCAGACAATAGCAGAGCGCTGGATAAGAAGTAGAGCAGCCAGGACTCAAACTGGTGCCCATATTGGATGCTGGCACTGCAGGCAGTGGCTTTACCTGCTACGCCACAGCGCCAGACCCTAATACACTATTATTTCAACTTTTATTTAGTAGATATAAATTTCCAAAGTACAGTTTATGGATTACAATGGCTTTTTCCCTCCCATAACTTCCCTCCCACCCACAAACACTATTCTTAACCACTGGTTTGACAAAGGTACAAAACTATATTTGTAAAAATACTGATACACACAGACATTTCTTTCTTTTTTCTTTCTGTTTGCTTTTTTTATTTTTATTTATTTATTTATTTTTATTTTTCGACAGGCAGAGTTGACAGTGAGAGAGAGAGAGAGACAGAGAGAAAGATCTTCCTTTTGCCGTTGGTTCACCCTCCGATGGCCGCCGCGGCCGCCAGTGTACTGCGGCTGGCGCACTGCGCTGATTCGAAGGCAGGAGCCAGGTGCTTCTCCTGGTCTCCTATGAGGGTGCAGGGCCCAAAGCACTTGAGCCATCCTCCGCTGCACTCCCAGGCCATAACAGAGAGCTGGCCTGGAAGAGGGGCACCAGGAAAGAATCCGGCGCCCTGATTGGGACTAGAACCTGGGGTGCCGGCGCCGTAGGCGGAGGATTAACCTATTGAGCCGCGGCACCGGCCTCTGTTTGCTTTTAAATTTTAGCTCCCAAATATAAGGAAAACATGCAGTATTTGTCTTTCTGGGTCTGCTTTAGTTCATTCAACATGGTGTGCTCCAGTTCTGTTCATGTTGATGCACGTACTAGAATTTCATTCTTATTTTATAGCTGAATGATATTTCACTGTGTATATATACCACATTTTCTTTATTCATTTGATTATGGACACCTTGGTCGTTTCCAAATTTTGGCTACTATGAACAGTGCTGCTATGAACATATGGTGCAGGTATCTCTTTGATACACTGTTTTCAAGTCTGTGTGGTATATACCCAGTAGTGGGATTGCTGGATTATATGGCATTATTTGCGTTATTCTTGACATAATAAATCTTTTCTACTCTAAAATTCTTCCTGATAACAGTAACAACTTTGTACATTAAGAGAAATATTTTCAAAAAAATTAGTTATGTAATTATTACATTAAAATCTCTTTTTAGTGAAAAGAGTACCTTTGTGACATCCTTGTCCTGAGAAACAAGCTGGTTTTGAATTTCTTCTAGTTGATTAATAGCTGAAATCTTTTCCCTTGTAGCCTTTTCCACCTGGGTCTCTAGTTCAGCAATATTCTGAGACAGGATTAACATCTATAAAAAAAAATAAAAACCCTAAATTATAATGTCACTTAACAAAATAAATGCCAGAAAAATTCTTGAACTAACAAAGTCTCAGCGTAGCTACTGGACTCTATCTGCAAATCATTCCTCTGGATATATCCATCTCTGTACCTGCTCAACTCTGCTATCTCCTGACTTGAAATATGTACTTCCCTCCTGTTCATTCCCCTGATTTCTAAATGTATAATAAGATGATAAAATCAAGGTCAACACCCAAGTAAGTTATGGAACAGACTGTCAAAGATAAATTTCGGATGTGGTGTGGAGGAATCAGACAACTCTTAACATCTTCTCGGGTTCTAGTCCCGGTCGTGGAGCCGGATTCTGTCCCGGTTGCCCCTCTTCCAGGCCAGCTCTCTGCTGTGGCCAGGGAGTGCAGTGGAGGATGGCCCAAGTGCCTGGGCCCTGCACCCCATGGGAGACCAGGAGAAGCACCTGGCTCCTGCCTTCGGATAGGCCCGGTGCGCCGGCCACAGCGCGCCGGCCGTGGCGGCCATTGGAGGGTGAACCAACGGCAAAGGAAGACCTTTCTCTCTCTTTCTCTCTGTCCACTCTGCTTGTCAAAAAAAAAAAAAAAAAATGATTGATTGGGAGGATTAGAAAGGAAGCTAGTATCTTTTACTGCCATTTCCACTCACCTTACCTAAATACTAACCAGGAGGAGGCTCTGCACATTCTCTTTTCTGTGAAAACCCTGTCTGTACTCCCATTATCTAGCTCTCCTCTACCCTCAGCCATTACTTCCTCTCTTCCCTCTCTTCCAGGAATCTTCTTGACTTCCAGTTACCAGCATAAAACAGGCATCACTTCACATAATCACAGTTCATATTCAGCTAACATGCATGGGACAGTGCTACAGCCTGTTGTTTGGAGCCCACATTTATTCTCATTGATTATTGCCTATGCTGTACTGGTTGTTTAGTATTTTGGGTATTACTCTGGCATACGGTTCCACAACAACCTCAGAATGTGAGTAGATATTTTCATCATACCCAAACCTCTGTGCACCTTTATCAGAGGTAGTTGTCTCTTCATTTCCTCATTAGACTAGAAGTTTTTCAAGGATATGTTCCTCAGCTATTATCAAATGCTTGATGGATAACTGAATAATTAGAATAAATGGATGTTCTGAGAGACTCTGGATATTGGGTTCTCAGTTTTTCTTCTCAGGATTAGAAATGCTTTTTAGACCTTAAACATATCCTTTATAATTTCTTAGTTATGTTTTGCTCTGCTCCAGCAAGTCAAATGTTTCTAGGTTCTTAATTTCTTACTTGCATTGGTAGTTTTAAAATGAAGAAATGCTACCATAGCCCACAGCAAAACAGTTACTTATCAGTTTTATCTGTTGAAACAAGAACTAGTAATAAATTTCAAATATATTGAAAAGTGACATGTGTGTTGAGTTCAGTTTTACAACTAAAATAAGTAACAAACATTTTGTGATAAAATCAACATTGATGGGTAGGTATTTGGCCTAGTGGTTAAGATGCTAGTTAAGATTTCCAAAGTCCCAAATCCAAGTGCCTGGGTTAGGGTCCCCATCTGGTTCTTGACTCCAGCTTCCTGCTAATGTGGACACCAAGAGATGGCTCAAATGACTGGATTCCTGCTTTCAGTGTGATAGACGTGGATTGAGCTCCCCTCTGACACCCAGCTTCAGCCCTCAGCCCAGCCTGGGGACCTGTGTGCATCTGAGGAGTGAACCAGTAGATGGGAGCACACTCTCTCTCCCCCTCCCCCTCTATTCAAATAAATAAGGAAAAAAATTTAAAAAATCAGCACTGGGGGCTGGCATTGTACAGCAGCAGGTAAAGCCGTAAAGCCACACCTTGGCAGCTGGCAACCCCTATTTTCACTGGTTTGCATCTGGGCTGCCCTACTTGCAATCCAGCTCTCTGCTAATGGCCTGGGAAAAACAGTAGAAGATGGCCCAAATGCTTGGGCCCTTGCCACCCACTTGAGAGATCTAGATTAAGCTCCTGGCTCTAGGCTTTGGCTTGGCCCAGCCCTGGCTATAGTGGCCATCTGGGGAGTGAACCAGCAGATGGAAGATCTCTCTCTCTCTCTCTCTCCCTCTCTCTCCATAAATTTGACTTTCAAATATATAAATAAATCTTTAAAAAAAAAGCACTGAACCAAAGTTTTGGTAAATTAAACTTAAATCAATAAAACCAAGAAAGATGCTTGCCTTTGAATTATTTAACTAGCTAAAAATGACGCATATAAAAATAACAAGCACTTGTAGTTATTTCCCAATTTAGGCAAACGTATTAATTAATGTTTCTGGGGACTGCAGAGAATTGTATATTTGACTTATGATTGTTTACATATTCTTATCATCAAAAGATTTTCTAGAAAGCTAATTTGCATATAAAATTAGTTTTACCAATAATAAACTGCCAACTATCTTCGTGCACATTACAATCTGAACCTAAAACTAAAGGTCAAAGAGGAGCTGGTGCTGTGGCGTAGCAGGTAAAGCCGCCACCTGCAGTGCCGGCATCCCATATGGGTGCCGGTTCAAGTCCTGGCTGTTCCACTTTCGATCCAGCTCTCTGCTATGGCCTGGGAAAGCAGCAGATGGCCCAAGTCCTTGGGCCCCTGCTCCCACATGGGAGACCCGGAAGAAGCTCCTGGCTCCTGGCTTCAGATCAGCACAGCTCCGGACGTTGTGGCCAACTGGGGAGTGAACTAGTGTGGGGAGCAACTGAGACTAGACTAAGTTACTGGAATTAAGACTTATTCTATGCATCTGCTCTCCCACAATATGGCGCTGGGGAGGAGTAAAACAACTACGCAGCTGCCTCTCGCCAATTTGACTGATAAGCTGCAGGAGCTGATCCTGCTCCTGATTGGAGGAGAGCAGCGTGCTTGGCGTGTGGGTAGCAGAGTTGGGATTGGTGGAAGAGGACTATAAAGGAGGGGTCGGCAGCCAACCCAGGAAGGACCAGCAGCCAACCCGAGAAGGGCCGAGCAGACAAAAGAACAGCGCAGGGTCCTGTGTCGTTCCTCTGCGAATGGGGGAGCGACAAACCAGAGGATGGAAGACCTCTCTCTCTCTCTGTCTCTGTCTCTCCTTCTATCTCTGTGTAACTCTGACTTTCAAGTAAAATAAATAAATCCTTAAAAAAATAAAAAATAAAGGTCATTAAATATAATCAATCAAAAATATCAATTGAATTTCCTTAATTTAAAATTCAAGTTCATGAGCATCTATGAGTATAATTATAATAATTATATTTTTTCTGGAATCAGACAACAGTGCAAAGTTTAATTGATAGCTATTAAAAATAATAGATTACTTATGTGGAAATCTATCTGAGGATAAACATATTAACACTGGTTTTTGAAGGAAATATGCACATTTACTTTGCTCATGGTAAATTATGAGTCAGTTTCTATTCCAAGGCATGTAACAAATCTCTCCCCTTCCTATGATTTCCTCCATCTGCCACCCATCATTTCTTTCCTCTGCCCACTACCTGTCTTCTACCTCCTGTCACCCACTTCCTGAGGTCTCCCCTCCTGTTGTCACACCTTCTTTTTCCCCATGCCCACCATCTGGAAGTCAACATTACACTGCAGGAGCTTCTCCATCCACATCTGTTGCAGAGCCAGAAGTAACACAGACACAGCTGCAACACTGCTGGATGTCCAAAGAGTTGACATCAGGTAAGTCCTTTAAACTTTGACAGGGGCAAGGAAGAGACAAGGACACCCAGGTTGACAGAAATTTCTGCAAAGCGGTCCCTAGTGTATTGAACATGGTATGAATTGGTACTCCCAATCCAAGAGATATAAGAATAAAGGATCATAGCAATGGGCTACTGTTAAGGGAACCAACTGAGAAAATGTGTGGACCAGAGGGAATTCTCAAAAAAATATGTGATGGATAACTGAATGAAGTAACAAACCTGAGTGACTCAGTACAACCACAGGCCATTACAGAAGACCACAAATAAACCCACAGCAAGAACTGTTTGTGGGCAATGATTCAAATCTATCCAGGTAAAAGGCATATGCTATCCTAGAGCTTCCCACAAAAACAGGATTATTTTTAAAAGCAAGAAGGAGAATGAAAAGAAAGAAAAAAACAGAAGGAAAATCAATTTATTGCTCAAGTGTTCCTGGTGTTACAAAAACAGGGATTTTTGTGTTAGTACTAACTGTAACCACCTAGCACTTACAGTACTATAACTTTTAAAAATATTTATTTTTATCTACTTTCAAGGCGGAGAAAGAGGAGAGAGGAGAGAGGAGAGAGAGAGAGGAGAGAGGGGAGAGAGAGAGGGAGAGAGAGAGAGAATATCTTCCATCTGCTGTTTCACTGCCCAAATGCCCACAAATCTGGGCTGGGCCAGGCTGAAGCCAGGAGCCTGGAAATCCGTCAGAGTCTCCCAGATGGGTAGCAGAGGCCCAAGTTCTTGAGTCATCTTCTGCTACTTAGGATGCTTTTGGAGGAAGCTGGATCTGAAGCAGAACAGCCAGAACTCAAACTGGCTTCCAATATGGGATGAGGGTGTCCCAAGTGGTAGCTTAACCTGTTGCACCACAATGTCCACCCCAGAGTATTATGATTAATTGGCCAGTCCCCCTATTAGATTACCTTCCTGTGCTAGGTGGTGTGACGGACATTTTTTCTCCAAGTCCCATTACAGCAGGAATTACACTGGGTTAATTTTTTAGGAGAAAAATGAGATTCAGAAAACTAAGTAAATTGCTCAAATTCATTAAAGTTAATAAACAAAGGGCAAAACTGGGCTTTTAATTCAAATGTGCTTTTTTTTTTTTTAACACGAAGATCCAAGAAAACTATCCCATATGGCAACTTCTTTCTCTAAAAGCTAAAATTCATTAAATGCCCAGGTTAGCCAGGCATTATGTTAGCTATTTTCAAAATATCATATTGTTAATCCCATCAATTCCTTGAAGTAAGTATTGTCAACTGAACTTAGAGAGTTAAGTGA